AACCATCAATCTGCCAATTAAGAGTAAATAATATAAATTACTGATTACTCGATTTCTGCTCCAAGATATTTACAGATTATTCCCATCACCCTCCAGACGATGCAAAATTAACATCCCGCTGTAATCCATAATTGTCGGAAATTTATGAATGTAATACTCCAACACAGAGGTGACAGCGTCAAACACCATTCCGCAGGATATCCAAGAGAATATAAAGGGTCAGGGTGGCTTCCACACATTCACAGAGAGACGTACGAGAATTGGAGAGATCCTATTTGCGTAAATTTATCGTTGTGCCATAGCCCGTCCGATGAGCATTATCCAACGCCACCACTGGCTGTCACCACTGTTTCCATTATCCACGACATTATGGGGTTTCTCCGGGGATAGAGGCTGGTGACACCTTCACACGAGAATAACGGATATGTGTTTGTGGAATGGGCCACTTCCGCATATAATCCTGATGCGAATGTGCCCATGGGCTTCGGTTTCTGGGTAATGCGTCAATGGAACAATTGTAGGTGGATAACTGGTAAGGGGAAGCCATGCCTCCAGACATTTCTCAAGCTGAGCTGGATCTGAAACTGACGTCGGGGAAGATGACGGGTCGCTCGGTCAACCGCAGGACGGCCTACGGACTGTCTGATTGACGTTCTCTCGGCTGAATTCCCTAATTCACTGCTTCTGATGAATTATTCACGTGTCTTTGAGCCCGGAGACAATACCCTCGGGGTGTGAGGATAATTTTGATGAAAAACAGCGGTTAAGGAAGTTTATCGAGATTCGTTATTCATGAATCTGGGATCTGTGAAGCGTGTTATCTGTTTTTGAAGGACTGAACGAGGCAAGGGAATGTAGAAGAGCGAATGAAGACGATTGGTGGACGTTTCATTAGAGTTCTAGGAAAATTTCAAGCAATTTTGTCATTCAAAATTCATTGTTTTATCGAGAAATTGTTGAAAATTGGAAAATTCAGTTCAATTATTTCATGAAAATGAATAGAAATTGAGAGAATGCAGGTGAATATTTTTTAAAACTGTAAATTAGTTAATTTTAATGTCAGTCTTCTGAGATCTCCTGGGATCTGTGGAGTGTGTTATCTGTTTTCGGAGGATAAAATGAGGCAATAACATGGTGAAGTCAGAATGAAGACCATAGGTTGAGTTTTCACCTCACTCTTTTCCTTTTCATATTAGAGTTTCAGCAAAATATTGAGTAGTTTCGTAATTAAAAATTGAAAATTTCATAGACAAATTGCTGGAAATTGGAAATTTCAGTTCATTTATTTCCTGAAAATCAATAGAAATTAAGAGAATTCAGGTGAAGATATTTTTAAACTTCAAATTAATTAATTTCAGTGTCATTCCTCTAATAATTCCTATTAATGACCCAAATTTTTAAAAATTCCATTGTTCAAAATTTTATGAATAAATTGTAGAAAACTGGAAGTTTCAGTTCAATTATTTGACGAAAGTTAATAAAAATTAGGCGAATTCAGATAAATATGTTTTTGAAGTTTAAATTAATTAAAAGTTCCGCATAATTTGGTGCTAAATATTGATGTGTTCATCGAAAATAATTAAGTTGAGGAGTTCCTGTTTTTTTGTTGCTCAAAAATTGAAAATTTCATTGAATTTCCAGAATTTCCAAAATTTGGCATTCTAGGATTTTTTTCCCTCTAAATCCAATTCAATATCACTCTTCTGAGAATTCCTAGTCACCAATCCATAGAATTTCAATTATTTTCCAACAGTGAGGGGATGAGGAGAATTTTCGCACAGTAAAAATGCGGAATTATTCAATAGAATCGACCAAAATCACTACGAATTCCAATAGAAAGTCAACGAATTTTCTATCGAATTCTGCAGGTTTTTCTACAAAATTAGTTCGTGCACGATAGTCCACCACCGATCGCAAAAATGATACTAAATAAAAAATTGAATTGCAAGAATGATAAAAATAATAAATTAGTAATAAAATGAACGGTTGAATAGGAATTTGAATATTAAAAATTAATTCTTCCACTTCCTTCCGCAAGTCGAATGTCTATAGGTATAGATGCGAGATATCCAGTCCTGACTGATATTCTCAGACCAAATAAAGAATACAAAACCCTCCTATATCGAGGCTAATTACAATAGCCATCGACTTCGTCGGAGCTTCCTCAAAGGAAGTGTCAATTATTCCTCCTTAGACAGCAACTTTCCCCGATGAAATATGAATCCACTTCCATCCCCAGCATTGCGAACCGGAAATCGACAAAGATGTCCTCCACCTCAACCCGGAGTTTATTCGAAATATTCTGTAGTGAACGATGCTTAAACCGAATGAAAAATTTATAATCCCGCTATCTAGGCGAATTACGATTGCTATCGACTTTTTGAAGTTTCAATTATTCCTTCTGGAATTGCTATTTTCCTCAATGAAATATGAATCCGCTTCTCTCCACTGTCTCTCCCAACCGGAAATCGATAAACATGTATATTTCTCTGTCTCATTAATCTCGCCTCGAGTACATCCGCAGTTACTCGGGTATTTTTACCCAAAATGTCATGACTTTTACATCTGCTTTAGCATGAAAAGTATAAATATCAACTGGGTAGTTCAGTTTAATAAAATTGTAGCAGCGGAAATTTCAGTCAAAAATCATTTTGTCATTCCGGCCGAAAGGCAGCCCTCGCCTTCGGTTCGGTCTGCAAATTCATATTTGCCAGAAAAGTTTCTTTCGGTTTAATGACGAAATATGTTATCAACAGTATGTATAGGAACAAAAAAAATATATTGAGTGTCTTTTATAGCAGAATCAAGTATATCCATAAACCTAAATCAATAATAAAATATACTTGATTCAAGTATTTTATTTCCTTGCCATACACACCCTATTGGAGCTTTTACTTGATTCAAGTATATTATTCATGATTCGAATATAGAATATGCTTGAATCAAGTATATTCTATGCTTGAATGAAAAAACAAGTACACTTAAATCAAATAAAACTCAAGTATAAGTCGATTTTGACTACTGGTCAGTTTTCACTGAATATCTCGGAATCTAAGGCAGATAGCAAAATTTTTGTCAGAACCTTTTTGGAAGAGCGAATTGAGCGCTACAAAAAAGCTAATAACGAAAATTTTGCTATCTTCCGTAAATTCGGAGATATTCTTCAAAAACTAAGCTGAGAGCCCAGTCGACTTGACTCGTTTTACCCGTGCCGACCGTTATCACCTGAACAAATCTCTATACCGAATAGGAATAGTCGAAAGCCTGAGATGCGACTGTGGTGCTGAGTAAATAACCCAATGACAGGGTTAATATTTATAAATAATTTTAAAAAATGACTCGTTTTACCGTTTTGCTACTGATATCGCTGGAGAAAAAGTAGCCAAAGTCCCTGGATATCCTTAATTCAATCCTGCCAGACCCCCTGCAAGCTCCGGCCTGAATCAAGCAATTTTTTTTATGCAAACCGGAAGCCGAGATATTCTCGGCTTCGCCAATCCCGCCCCCCAAAACACCCCCTGACACTCGTGTATTTTTACCCAAAACGTCATGAATATTACATCTTCATCATGAAATTCCGTCCATCGGAATACTCCTCGTAATTCAATTCACCGCCGCTGTCACTCTCCACCGGATTATTACGCTCCCCAAATACTACACGACAATCATAATTAATCACCCCCCCCCCCCC